CACACACACACACACACACACACACACACACACACACACACACACACAAAATATATATACATATATATATATAGTAGTTAGTAATATTTGATGACTCATAATTAGCAAAGTAAGCAAAATTGAGATATATGTATATGATAAGCAATACATTAGTGTCATACTTCCACATCTAAAGCAGTGAAAAAAATGCTTACAATGCGATTTCTTGCTTTAAAAGAAAAAAAAACAGTTTTGCTTACTTTTCTTTTTGTATGTTACAGAGAATGTTTGGGATGTATATTTCTTTGTATAATTATATCAATACTTATACAGAAAGTTGTTCAAATTCCTCACATTCATCAAGAAAGTTCAGTATTGTTTGTACTAGGACACTTTAACCACTGGATACACTGCAATGGCGAAATATATGAAATTTGTTTATAACCTAACCAACCACTTGTTGACATGTTCTTGTGGTTATATATATTGCGAAGTATGTGCAATATATTTTAAAAAGAACGTCACTTTTAGTGGTAAAATCATCCTAGTATTTGTAATAGAACATCCTTTGCAGTGAATCTGCAAAAGTGCTGTTTATATATCTATTAACTACATACTACCATTGCAAAAATCTAAGGATTTTTCATACATGTATGTTTGTATAACTGGTCAAGTAGCATTGCATTTAATAAATTAATGTTATTTAACTGTAAAATATTTAGACTCTGTTTCCACTAGGACAAATTCATTTTCTGCAATTTGTAGATTAAGTCTTAAGTATAACGGTAACACTGCTTCAGTATAGTTGGTAATGCGAACCAATCCATTTTTCAATTAAATACAATTTTGGTTATTATTATTAATATTATTATTATTAGGGTGGCTTCATTCAGAGCTTATGCAGCCCTTTATCATTGCGACTATTGTGATATATTGTGATCACCATTAATTACAGTTCGAGGCCAAGATTAAAGAACTGAAAAATATTCCTAGCTGCATCTGTCTTTACCTCCTCTGGTGGTGGCCTGTGCCTTCCTTCTTCTTGTGGCAGAAACTACACTTTATTTTCTTTCTGCCCAATATTTCACATGTGCTGTTCAAGCCATAAATGCCCTGTTAAGGCTCTAGTCATCACTCTGATGCCATTTCCCTAGTGACAGAGCTTCTCTGCAGTGTTTGTCACTGTTTTGGTTATGTATGCTCACAAGAAATATTATTTTATTAGGTTTGTTTGAAAAAACAAATATACGCGATTTAAATCCGGAAAAATAGTTTTATTTCCTATGTGTATCAATCGCGAAAACCTAACACCTCGATAAGAAATATATATGTTTATATTATTAATCATGGACTGTTCAAGTATTTAAAGATGACTTGGCTGTGAGTGGATGTAATGTTGTCTTAATTGTCAACATTAAATGATTAAAAATATCCTTTTCTTTCTCAAACTGTAAAATAAATTAACTATGTGAAGCCGTGTGATAAAAAAACAGATCCGGATGTTTTCGCCATCGAGTGCTAGAGCACATGAAGTTGACTTTATGTAATATTTTGTTTTGTAAATGTTGATGTTGCAAATGTAATATGTACTAGAGTCCTTGACTGCAAACTATCACTTTTCAATGCCATCTTTGTCTTGTTTCAATGCTTTTTTGGCCACTAACATATGTTAGCGTTCTGAAGAAGTCAAAGAATGGGAATTGTTTCATATAAATACTTCGCTATCGGCTTATAAAATCTAAATATGTTATTGTCTAAATATGTATTGTATATTGTATGATTTTGTCTAATTTTTGTTAATTTATTTATTAATACGTTACTGCGGTAGTGTCGTTGTAATTTTAGATTTTCTTATTTCACTTCAAGGGCCTGCTTTTACTCCTGCATCGGATGTGAGTCCTAGCCCTGCTGTTGGGCCAAGAGGTGCGGGTAGAGGAATCCAGCTTTTGCAAACATTGTAAGCACTGTTTTTTACCAAAAATGATGAAGCAAACGTAATGATTTTTAAACTGTATGTATATCGCACAGTTAATACAATAGCGTATTAACTCGAAAAGTGAACTTTCTCAGAATCGATGAAAAACGAATTACTCACTTCCCGCAAAAAATCATTAAAATATATGTATATGTTGAGTTTATTATAGACACTTAGACTACTTTGTGAAATATCTTTGACCAATAAGCTTTAATTTTATTTACAATCAACAGAAAAGCAACCTCAAAACCAAAGCCCGAAGAAGTTGGCCAAAGCGACATGCGAGAAGTCACTCATAAAATGGCAGAGAGTACTGTATCCGACTCGACCTCTGCAGCTGGTACCGTCGCCACAATGAGATCTTCCGTTGCGAAGAACAAGTATTTCGTAAGTAAATTTCATAACGTAAAAATTTCTGATGTAAAGTCGTTTTTTTTCGCTTATTTCTTGTATCGTATGTCTGTATGTATGTCACTAATGTTGTGGAATTCTATACAATCAGTTCCTAGTATATCCGCCGTGATAAATGTCTATCGGTGAGTCGTCTCGTGTATCAAATTCCATATCAGCGTTTTTTCGCCGTATGCTTTTATTTCTGTTCCATTTGCGACATATAATAATGTACGTTTCATGTTTTGCAATATTTTGGTTGTGCTTAGGTGTAACTGAAATATTAGTATCTATAATCACTGGAAAATGGGATCTGTTTAACTTTTGGAAAATGTTATTTTTTTAACCGATTTAAAAAAGGAGGAGGCTGAGGACCTCCTGATACGATAGTATATTTTTTGTATGTATGATACGCGGTAACTGTGAGTCGATTTTGATGATTCTTTTTTTGTTGGAAAGAGCATTCCTCAGTATTGGTCCCATTTAAATTGGAAGGAAACATTTCACTTCAATCAGAATGGCTTTATTATTATTATTATACTTATACCTTTATGTATTGTATACTTATTATTAGAAATGTTGGAATAGAATTTTATTGTTCTCTCGAACTTTTGATAAGTCGAAGCTTATTTGCTATAGTGGTTAATAAGCATGTGGCTACAAAATGAAAGTTGAAAGCGAATGCGATGAAACCGTATATTTGAGAATTATGTCCACAGCTTTTTTGATATTTTTTTTACATATACAAAATTTGTTTTGTCTTCTTATAGAGGGAAGTAAAAGACGCACCACCCTTAGTGCAAATGGGTCAATCTGGCACGCCATGTGAGGTCACTTCGAATTTCATTAAGCTAAACTTTGAAGAGAACACTGTTTTTGAATACGAAGTCCGCTTTGATCCCGACCAAGATCACAAGTCTGTACGCTTTAAGCTTCTTAATGGTAATGGATTTTTTTTCTTGTTGTCGTATCTATCTCTATTGAGTACCTAAAAGAATGACGTAACATTTGATAAAAGCTAATTTTTAGTTGAAATTAACTTAAACTTTAAACTGCCTCTGTGGCCGAACGGTTACGGATTGCCACGCAGAGGTCCCAGGTTCGATTCCCGGTCCGGGAGAAATATTTGTATGGCCGAAATTTATTTATCTCTGTAATTTGTGGATGTCTATGTGTGTGTCCATGGCACTCGCGACTCAGGGTTTCCTTAATGCTTACTTACTTTATTTTACTACCAAAAAAGATAGTAATACTTATGTTGACTGAGTGCGTTATTTAAAAAAAACTTGCTTTCTAGAACACTATTTACGGTCACAACATGCATTACTATCTTTTTTGGTAGCTTACCTTATATTTCTTACAATTCAATAGTTTAATCAGTAATGTATTGTGAACTCAGAAGGTCAGTGAATTATTTTTGGTATTTTTTTTTAAATTATCGTACTAGTTAATTATGAATCTGTCATTGTTGCAATTTTATACCTATATGCATTGACTTACAAATAAATGGACGACGGGTCTAATACAAAAACCTCGAAAAATGTCATGTCAAGGAATATGAAAAAGCTAAAACGTTGAATTTAAATGGTAATGTCATCGCAGTACTGTCTCATTTTGCTTGCTTCGCTGTCAGTCGAACAAACGAAGGCTAAAGCGTGAATGACGCTCTGTATACGATTTTAACGCCCTATAAGTTCGGACACTTTTTAGCGCGGACCCGACGTTCATATAATTGTAAGCCAATTCCTATATGTTTTATTTTCTTCGAATATTATTACCTGTTATTTGAGTTACCACCACCACTGGACTCAAATCAGTAGGACTATTATGTTTTTCAAGCTACGCCCTTCCCTGTCCATAGCAGTTGTAGTGCCACTCAGAGCTTTAAATCGCAAAGATCTGAGAGGCACTGCCGCGGCCATCACTCTGGTACAGTCATATACACAAGATACCTTACCCCCCCAAGCCGACTTTGCCAAACCTTTTGGTTCTGAGCACAAAAATGCGGAGAATATTGTTAAACAAACTTAATCATTAACCTGTGAGCCGTATAATTTATTTTAGTATGACTCCCTGGTCGTCTCATTTGTGAATGACATTGTAAGAAAGTTTTTAAGCCAATTTGATCTTTAAGGTATAGTTCTTACTTAAATACAGAAAACAAATTTCTACCAGCTTTAGTAAATTAGCATTTATAAATAAGCATTACAACTGCAATGGACAGGCGCGTCACTTACGACCAAACGCACGACTTGTGCGTCCCGTCACTAGGTAAAATAAAAAACTAAACCCTACGTGACTTATATTATCATTATTCATTACCCTGTGTCAAGTACTTGGATATAAGTTGATAGACAACAACATTGGACGGCACCTATTTCATGTGTTAGTAAAAGTGTGTAATTGTTTCTATTTGCAGAGCATCATCATTACTTTGAAGTGAAAACATTTGATGGCACAACTTTGTATGTGCCCCACAAATTGCCCGATGAGGCAATGAGTTTGGTGTCAACTAATCCGTTTGACAACAGCAAGGTCAACATTACGGTGAGTAAAAAAACATAATTATGTAGAACATAAATACAGGTTGTTCTTTATTTATTATTTGGAAGTAAGGATAAGGAAGGATTTACAGTAAATTTTTATGAATAAATATGTGTTACGTAAGTGCTAATTACACGTCTTCCCAAGTAGCACAAAAAATATTAAGGTTCTAGTAAACTGAAACTAAAAACATTATTATTCAAATACAACGTATTATTTTCGGTATTGAGAAATCATAGGTACACATGCCAATGCACGCACTATTATTATTATCACACAGGAAACGAAACAATGAGGGACAGGTAATTAAGTAAAAAATTGCTTAGTATACATACGTCGAATCGAACCTACATTTTGGTACTGAACAAATCTATCATCTATGATTGATTTATATCTATATTATATATTGATATTAAGATAGGGTTAAATTTTAAGGGTTAGTTACTAGAACGTTTCCGGAAGGATTCATATGTAATTCCCGATTTCTTTCTTCTCACTATAAAGTGCAAGTAGGAAAAGTTATACATAATAATAAATATAGGTTTTATCCAGTATCGCGGCATTATCCATGAAACCCAACACCTTTTTTTTAATTTTCACTGTATTAATTTTACAATAATAATGACAAAAGCCAGTGACAAAAGAAAATTAACAAAAATAATAACACATTAATTTTTTCACAAAACATAGCAAAAACAATACTTAAAAATTAATAGAAAAAATACAATTTAGTGATGTGGACAAAAAGGTGAAGGACTCAGCATTGCTGATTTTCAGTCTTCACATGTAGCTAGCTATGCGCTTGCAGCACCAATCTAATATGAGGACTGTACACCTAGTAATAACCTGCCTTAAGTAATAACTACAAATAAGTTTAAAGACCGTCCATGTAGTTATTTTTTATTTATTTAACTCAAAATTTAAAATTTTGTGCTGCTAGTTGTTTTAATTGGGGATCAATTGTTAATCGATTTCTGTACAGACAGGAGCTTTCCTTAGTTCATTTTTTATAAGTAAACCACGTTTTAGTATTTTCTGCTGGAGGCGATAGGTAATTCCAGCAGTTACTAATACAAGTTTCACAGTTCGTTGTTAAAATAACTATATCTGATTTGTACTATTTATCTTATAGAAAGTAGCCAATAATCTTTTCTGGTTGAATGTTATCTACTCAGTCGAAGTTTGGAATTGCAATAAATACAGATTGTGTATATAGAAACAGGTGTATTTATTTATATGAACATATCCAACATGCTTTATTTGAAATTTTTCAATCATCAGATCGTCTTTCGGCGGACTCGTCGTCTAAGTGAAATGGTACACATATACAATGTACTCTTCAAGCATATTATGAAAGACTTGGAACTCATTCGCTTTGGTCGACTCCACTTCAATGAGCATGCTGCCATTCAGATACCGCAGCATAAGCTGGAGGTTTGGCCGGGGTAAGTTTTTTACAAGAATTGTTTTGAGAATTAAACTGAATGGTTTTGTGATAAAATTATGACTAAACGAATGCCTTCAGGGTCAGAGTTTAAAATTAAAATTAATATAATAAACTGATATTGAATGGTGATCTATTATACTACATAATGTTTTGTATTACAATAGTAAAATAGATATTAATATTATTATCATTATTATGTAAATAATTTGCGGTGTTATTTTTCTTGTACTGTGTTCGAAATTCATTCGACTGGCGTCTCTGTTACATTCAATTACTTTCTACTTTACGCATAGACTCTGTGTATTACAGATACGTAACAGCAGTAGACGAATATGAAGGAGGTCTCATGCTGACTCTGGACTCGACCCACCGGGTGCTCCGGACGCAGTCTGTGCTGTCTCTCATAAAGGAGACCGTGCAACATCAAGGAGCTAATTGGAAGCGGGCCTTGACAGACAAACTCGTCGGTTGTTCTGTTATGACTACCTATAACAAGAAACTTCTTCGGTAAGTTATTTCTAAGCTTTCTTAGTACACTCGTGTGTAATGAAATGTAGACGTTTACACATTTTCCAATATATGTAAATATTATATATTGTGTTGTGTTTAAAACTATGTAATCATGACACTGTTTTAAAGAAAGGCATACTTTAATTTCAGAGAAAAGTAAACAAAGTACAATCAGTGATAAATGTACACTCCTGGTGTTTTATCTAAATAAGTATCCATACAATTTTCGTAAATATTTATATGCTGTGAATGGATTGAGATTTTACCATAATTATGTATGTAGGTATTTATATACTGTAATATTTCACGATATTGACGAACATGTAAAATTATAGTGTTTTGGAGTAGTGGAGAAATTACCTCCTTAAAGTCAGCTTGAAAGCTACCCTGCCATTCGTGAAATCTCAAATTATGTTGAATTTGATTTCGTGTGAATTTCTCAAATTGGACTTCTGAAATTGAGACAGCGGATGGGTTTCAAAACGTACACTTGACATTTCACTCTTAGGTCAGCCAGTCTTTCGAGTTTGACCGTACTGATGAGACTATGAGTCTCATTGGATATAAATTTACACAAAATCAACTAATGAAATAATATAAAGAAAAAAAATAGAAAAGTAATATATTTTTAAAAGCTGCTATTATTATTTTGTAACCAGAGTCGATAGTATAGACGACACAATGACACCGAGATCAACATTCGAGAAGAATGAGAAGGGGCAGCTGGTGAAAATCAGCTATATCGATTATTACAAGAAAAATTACGGTATTGACATCATGGACTGGGATCAACCTATGTTGATATCGAGGTATATTTTTATCTTATTAAGCAATATGTGTATTTTACAATATAAGTGCCAAGAAGCCTTCCAATGACGGCCGTCTTTAAATGCATATAAAATATAAATAAATAAAAATATTTTTCAAATCACTTCCTACGTGTGCGTAAGTAAAATCGCATAGACTATAGAGAAAAAAAGAAGTAAGAGCTACAGCGTTCAGTGTAGTGTTGAATGACGCTATGATAAAGATGTTATAGGGTTACTTCAAAATACCCGAAACCTCATAATACAAAATTTCTATCAACAATTTTACATTACAACATTTATTTCACTATTTACAATAATCAATGACTGCATAAAACTCAAAGCACCCCACTTGTAAATTAGTTATTTTTTTGCTCAAGTGTAAAAAAAAGCGGTATAATTATTCCCCCCCAATTGAGTGGTAAAACCATTGACCTACCAACAAATGGACACCGGGTCTAATACAAAAACACGAAAAAAAATGTCCGACCTTAACCTATATAAACGTAGTGACATGTAACGAAATATAAAATATTAAAACATTTAATTTAAATAATAATAACGTCATTGCAGTACTGCCTAATTTTGCTTGCAACAATTTAAGTGCCCAAAAATACCATATTCAGCGTCTACTGGAAACTTAACAAAATGCACCATATTTAGCTTCGACTGAAAATTACTTGAACACAAGAGTAATGGAGTATTTTAGAGTACTTTCTCCTAAATGTTAATTAATTTTCATATATATTATTATGTCGAATTTTGTACAAATTTACTTAAAGAAATAATAAAGAGTTGGGCTGATACATACATACAAATATTACTACAAATGTGAAAATTGTGAAAAAGTGTGAAAAAGCGTGTATTATAAAAAATGTACCGGTATTCCAACTAAACGTAAACTCAAATATTCGTAATTCCGAAAACCGATTTATAATAAAACCATTACGCTTTCAAGTAATTTTGATGCTTCTCACAAACCCAAAATTAGCTTTTGTTTTGTAATATTCCTAAAAAAATACATTTGACATTATGAAAATTCGAGCTAACGTTATTTCGGGCAAATGTATTTTCTGACTTCTGATAGCTAATCCCTAGCCGTAAAACGAATACGACAATGTTTTGTTAGTTATTGCTAAAGTTAAATAAAAAATCATTTTAAAAATAAGATCAACACGACTCTATAGTTTCTTTGTTCCAAATATTTCAATTGCTTATGGTTCGATCAATTGAAAATGACCAAGAAGTTTATACGCTTCTTGAAATTGACGTAATGGGTCTCTTTCCATCTTTTGCGCATGCAATGTGTAGAAAAAGGACAGTTAGCGATTTAATTATTTTGTTTGCTTTCGTAATTTTAATTTACGATTAATTTATATATAAATTAAATACTGTACAAATGTACAAAATAACACTTTTAAATGATAACTATGATAACACAATATATTTGTTTAGTGAAAATATGATACAAAATCCTGTTTATACACTTTACTGCAGTAATTTGTATAAGTTATTATTATATATAGTACTGCAGAATTGACAACCGCGCTGTCAGTCGAACAAACGAAGACTGTTGCGCGATTGGCGCACTGTATGCGATTTTAACGCCCTATAGGTGCGGACACTTTTTAGCGCGAACCCGACGTCCATTTGTTAATAGGTCAATGGGTAAAACAATAAATGTTATCGTATCGACGGCATACACTATATTATTGCGGCCCAGAACTTAGCGACTCATGCTACGCCACAAGTAGCCGCATTGCATGTACTGTGCATGATATCCTATGTTGCCATCGTGGTGAAAGGATTTGTCAGGGTGCGTCAGAGATGTTATGAATACGATTCGTTACACTTTTGGCGGGAGGCTCCTTTTGCACCCTACTATAACAATAATATAATAACGCACACACTCAACATAGCCCCGTACTAGGGAAATCCTGTGTCGCGGGTGCAGTGGACACATACATATACAACCACAACTTACACCCAATCTCACGAAAGAGAGAAAAGAGAGAAACGTAGGCCACTCAAATATTTCTCCCGGCCCGGGAATCAAACCTGGGACCTCGGCGTGGCAGTCCGGTATGGTAACCGTTCGACCACGGAGGCAGTTAGTTAATAAGTTGGCAACTATTACGACTATACGTTCAGGTCTCAGGTTTGACGAGCTCTGCACTTTCAATTAAGCCTTATAAGAATACTTGAACAACGAAAGACGCACACCTACTCAATCTTGCACACCCTTCTAAGACCCACAAACTACAATGGGAAAACCGCTAACCGCCCATTGTACATTAAATTGTACTAAGTATAATTACATGCTTTAGGCCAGGTGTTCCCAAACTTATTTTGTCTACTGCCCACTTTGAGAATAAATAATCTTTTAGCGCCCCCATTTGTTCACCTACTTATAAATCACTATAACTTCAAATGAGATTAATTATTGTGGGCTATATTAGCGGAGAAACATTCATTCTAAACAAGACTTTTACTATAACCCGCAAGAGATAACTTGAGACCTGAGCGCAGTAGGTACTACACAACAGCGCTCAGGTCTCAAGTTAACTCTTACGGGCTACACCTGCCAATGAGAATTATTATGGAAACGCAACTTTATAGTATTCAGACAGAGTATCTTTTATTCAAAATAAAACAAACATAATCGATTCTAATATAAAAACTAATGTGAAGGATGAATCTCATGCTCTTCAATAAGATTGTTGATATCAGGTTCCAATTTACTCAAGAACAGCCACAAGTCACCACATTCGGTAACATGCAAACAACTTCTCTTTTTAGTAAGCAGCGTTGTCACAGCACTAAAACCACGTTCACACAAATATGACGATGGGAAAGCTATCAAGAATCGTTGAACGATTGACCACAATCCAGGGTGCAATTTCGGGATCGGTTTTTGTAGCCAAAATTCTTGGTTGCCACTTTTGAACTTGATTTTTATTTCCTCATTCGTTGTCAATTCTATAAGTTCTTCCAGTCGAGGTGATATTGCTGTGTTGACATTTGAAAATGGATCCAACACCCAGTCTTCCAAGTTCAAAATGTCCTGGTATCGTTCGGTGAAGTCAATTTGGAGGTTTTCCAAATGTTGGCAGTAGGCAAACAAGTCGTCGTTACTGCAGGATACTGATAAATTCGGAAAATTGTGAAACTCACGTCTGCCCATATTCTTTTTGTGTAGAAGCAGTTTGGCTGCGAAAGCAGCAACGACATTTTTTGTTTTAATTAAATTTAGTTCATCGCCTTGGAGTTGGAGATTCATGTCGTTGAACAATTTATACAGGTATGTCATGTAAGCTATATCATTCTTTGATGTAATGAGCTTGTTGCGCAATTCTGTATCTTTAGTTTCCAAAAACTCTATCACAGAGTCACACAGGTTGTAAAATCGTGTCAGACAATTGCCTCTTGAATTTCAACTTCAGTATGAAACAACAAACGGTTTAAATCTTCGTCATTAGTAATACAAAGTTGATGAAATAATCTATCATTCAAAGAGCTGCTACGGATTTTATTGACTGCTTTGATGACTATAAATATATATAAATTTCTAGCAACCAAATGTTGTCTATGAATAACGCAATGTACAGCAAGGACATCTGGAATTTTATTTTTTAAGTATGCTATGAAGCCTTTATGGCACCCTGTCATAGCCGGAGCGTCATCCGTAGCAACTGATATAATATTTTTCAAAGGAATCTCAACAATAGTTCTTCACATAATTTCTCATCTTTAATAAACCTCACGTAAGACAGCAACAATGCTTCATTAGTTGGTAAAGTGGACTCATCGAGCTGAATTGAGAATTGACTAGTCTTCAGATGATTGCACAATGATTCTTCAATGTTTTCTGCCATTTCATCAATTTGTCTTTGCACAGAATTATTACTCAAAGGAATTTTTCGGATAATATCTGCGGCCGGTTTATGAAGCACAGTAGTTATAACTTCCTTTATTGCTGGCAAAATTAACTCTTCTCCGATGTTGTGTGGTTTGCTTTTTTGAGCAATTAACAAAGAGATATTGTACGAAGCTCGAAGTCCGTCATCATCTTGCTTAGCAGCCGCCGAAAGGAATTTTGCTACTCTTGGCTGAGTATTATGCTTCTTGTCTAGGTCTTGAAAATATGCTACATTCTTGTCTTTCTTATATGGATGCATTTTATTCAAATGATCTTGCAGTCTTGAAGGCTTAGAAGGCACAAAGGCGACGATGGGTTTGTGGGATTTTCAATGAATCCGAATTTAATATATTCCGCACAGTATTGCCGTCTCTTCTTTTTTACTTCCGTCATTGTTTTGTTTTGAGAAATACGTAAGTAAGTGTTGAACTTAAGTACTGCTTATCTATTACGCGCGAAACCGCAAATGAAAATAAATCAAATATTACGTTGTTTATATAGGATTGCATAAGCAGCACGCACCGATAGGAATAAGACAAACATAAATAAACCATGCATAAACTCGTTTATCTCATTCGACGCTCAATCGTACTCAACAAGTAAGAACAAGTATTCTATGAACCAGCCGATTGATACAGGAATGCACAAATCGGGTTATTTAACAAAAACTTGTTAAAACATGATTGCCCGCGGTCTATTATCTACGAAAATTACCTATCTAGGAATACTAATAACTATTAAAATGCGAAACTGCGTCTGTTGCCTTTTTATTTGTTTGTTTGTGTCTACTTTCATTTCGAAACGGAGCGACCGATTGACATGATTTTTATTTTATTCAATAAAGCAGGACAGATAACTACACGGAGAGAAATATCGAACCGAGTTAGTTTGAGCAATCTCTTAATTAATATTAGTTGATGTTCACAAGTTGTAGTCGACAGTCGTGAGCTCAGTCGGTGTCTGATGGTCGTATTCCAGAACTCTACTCAATGCTCAAGTCAGGACTTGAGTATGATTTAAAGCACTAGAAATTATACTCAAGTCCTGGCGTTTAGGGTCGTATTTCCAGTGCTTGAAATCATACTCAAATCCTGACTTGAGCAATGAGTAGAGTTCTGGAATACGACCCTAAGAGTCTTCCTAGATGAAATTACAAATCTCCCCCTAAGCCTGTACACAACGCCCCGATTTTTTTTCTCGGTCTCTTACCTCTTTAGGCCTACAGCGCCCACAAGGGGGCGTTATCGCCCACTTTGGAAAAGGTTAAAAAGCATGTCCTCAGTTTTGTATGAGAAACATATTTTCCTTTGCGATATTTGGAAAGAAGAACAAAAAATAAAAGTGTTTGGGTCTGACTCACTTCACCATATTATGTGCATTAGAAGGATACATCACCATGACAACGCGATCGCTTGCAACTCGTAACAATGTGAAACATTCACAGGGACACTAAGCGAATGCCGGGCTCAGAGAAAAAAGTAGAATTCATGATCTGCCTGGTGCCAGAGTTGTGTCAGTTAACCGGTTTGACCGACGACCAGCGAAGCAACTTCCGCCTCATGAAGGACGTAGCCACATATACGAGAATCACGCCTAACCAGCGGCATGCGGCTTTCAAAAAGGTAAACCATACCTTATTTCGTAAAGGTTAAGTTAAAGAATCGTGTAGGCTAGTAGAAAGACTTGCTGTATTGTTAATTATTGTAAAAAATAAACATCGGTTTCGTAAATTATGAGTAAACCTGAGTTCTACACTATCTTAACCAGAGTTTGTTATCAGTATCAAAAATACATGCATTGTACGGGTATTTTCCTTTATATCAGTATCAATGGAGGACAGATAAATTATTATTTACCTAAAGGTACCGGCACTCAATAGTGGTTTCCGCGACATTGCCAATTTGCTGCGTTCGCCTGCAGTCGACAGGTCATGTGATATCGCTGTGTAGTGAGCAGGATTATGAAAGTATTGATGTTCTACGAAACATATTTCTACGCAAGCGTTTTACTCAGCGATAGAATGCATTATATCTGCTGCTTCTTCGAAGAGTATTGAATGTCACCTAAAGTACATACATTTACAACTCATTTATTACTCTATTTTATCAGTACATCGAAAACGTCCTATCTTGTGAGACAGCACGTAAACGTCTAAAGGGCTGGGGCCTAAGCATCGCCCCTGATACAATAAACATAACCGCTCGCACGCTTCAACCGGAGACACTACTGTTCGGTAATAATGAAAGGGTGAATGGAAAGCCTAATGCTGACTGGAATATGGAAGTAACCAAGCAACATGTGATGCAGTCCGTCGATGTATTGCGTTGGACAATACTGTTTACCGATAGAGATAAACAGGTCACCGAAGTGAGTACAAAGCCTTATTTCCCTATCTATTCTAGTCTTAACAACGTTTAGTGTTGTAGATTTGATCAAATATATGTGTGCAATACACCGCGGTACGAAATGGAAGCGACGATAACTTGTATCAATTGAGTAACGTATAAACTACACACATCAAAACTGTCTAGGGATCAAGTGAATATTTTTGAAATAAAAATTATTTAAGCAATATTTACCAAATCCAGTCTTCCAGGACGAATTCTTACTTTAATGCTTATGTTTTATTTAACCGCTTACCCCTATATTTCATTAAAATAAACTAAAATTGATGTTTTTGCAAATTGTGGGAAAAAACTCAAATTAACGGCGTCAATTAAATGACAAAAAAATGGCGAAAATGATGATTTTGCTCATTTTTATTGTAAAGATAAGAAAATTGATAATCTGTATTTCCACCATTAACACGAATCACACAATTACAGCGATTTGGCATTCTTAAGATGAGTTCATCAAAATCACTTTGAGGAATGGCCGCCCATGTGTTTTGTAACAAGTCAAAATATTGTTGTAGTCAAAATATTGTTGTAGAGTATGTACGGTATGCATACTCGGCACAGCTCTTCTTTGAAGCATATCTCATGCGTGCTCAATTGGATTGAGGTCTGGCGATTGAGCAGGCCACGGCAGAACGTTGATACGAGCTTCGGCAAGAATGCGTGTTACGACTCTAGCCGTGTGTGGACGTGCGTTGTCATGCATTAGTTGAAATGAATCACCCAACTGGCCTCGCAAAGGGATGATAACATCTGAAACAATCCTCTCTGCGTAAACTTGAGCATTGAGATTACTCCTGATCCAAATGAGATCGGTTCTTCCGCCGATCCAAATACCGGCCCATATCATTATTGTTCCCCCACCATATGGATGAACTTCCTGACAATATCTCAAACGTTCATGACGTCCAGATGTTCTCCAAACTCGAGTACGTCTTGTATCCGGTCTCATACCGAAGCGGGATTCATCCGAAAAGCACACATAGCGCCAGTCTTCTTCCTCCCAGTTTCTGTGTTCGCGAGCCCATCGTAAACGGGTCCTGCGATTGCAGGGTGCAATAGGTGGAACTCTGAGCGGCCTTCGGGATCGCAGACCCACTTCACGTAAACGATTTCGGATTGTTTGATCGCTTATTAGCAAGCCTGAGGAGCTGTGGAGCCTCGTAACCAACATCATGGCGGTCATGGTACGATTCCGTCGAGCAGTATTTTGGATATACCGGTCCTGTCTGCGAGTCGTGTTGCGAGATCGTCCTCCATGTCGCTCGGCCACGCTACCCGTCATGCGATAGCGCGTCCAGAGGCGACTTATGACGCTCTGTGTAGTGTTAAGAGTGAAAGCCACAGCACGTTGCCTGGAACCAGCTTCCAACATTCCGACGGCTCGCATCATCACTTCTCGGGTTAAATGATGTCGTCTCTCCATAATAATGTAAATTGTTTCGGTTCCGATGCAGATATTGTAATGATTTTGTCAAAACGCTATAACTCATTTTTATTCAAAACCACATTGACAATCGATTTTCTTCTTATTATCGAATTTTAAACAATATTCCTTATTTAAATGTTAAAACTCACTAAAAAGTATCAATAGCGATACAAAAAAGTTAATATAATTAACCCTAATTGCAGCAATACTCTTAAACGTACTTGATCCCTAGACACTTTTGATGTGTGTAGATACGATACGTAGCCGCGCGAATTTCCGAGACTGCGCGAGAATTCTCCGTAAGACGCGCTACCTGTTTTTTGACTCGTATCTAGTTTGTACGTTAATTGATATAAAGTTAATTATGCTATGGTTACGTAAAGTGCATTTCACGTTATTTGTTTGTCTTGATAATTTATAACGAATGTAAATACAAAGCAAAGCTTGTAAAGTTTGGCGTTGTTATTCTACGAACGTCTGGGGCGTATTAATAAATAATTATGTGAAAAATAATTGCAGGATTTTATCCAAACCATAAAACGGTGCTCTCGTCCTATGGGTATCACCGTACAGGACCCAGACAAGATGCGGCTGCCCAATGATCGTACTGACTCTTTTATACAAGGTTTGAAAAAAGCGATCACGTCTGATTTGCAACTAGTGGTTTGCATTTGTCCTACTTCGAGGGATGACCGATATGCAGCTATTAAGAGAATTTGTTGTGCTGAGAATCCAGTGCCGTCTCAGGTAACTCTAATTATATTTTACATATAAGTGAAATATGAAACCGAAAGAATAATAATTACATAAATTTTAGAAGGTTATGTTTATATATATATATATATAATACTCAGTGCAAAATGTACACATTTAACGTCAGTTTGTTACTTTTGTAACATTGCTCATTAGATCCTTTGCCGCTATCATGAGTTTACTGTGATAGTTAGTATTATCGTTAGTATAGTATAAGATATTAGTATGGTAAATTATACAGCGCCCCTAGCGGTCCCAACAACACACAACTAGAAACGACATTTTGTATACAAAAACATTTTACGCGGTCGCTTGCGATAACTGTCATTGTAATCTTATGGTAGAGGCACTGTATAAAATTGTGCAGCTCAAAGCAAGTTACAGTAAAACGAGATTTGAAATAAATGGACAACAGCGAAAGATGAGAATTGTAGGTAAAAAATCTTTGTAATGACTGCATCTTTTTTGTTCAGTATCTATAAATTTGGATAAATATAATATAGGAAAAATGTTCAGAAAAATAACGACTTAAAGGTAAAAACACATGACATTTTCCACAAACATCTCCAAATTATGTACCACTTGTAAGAAATTCACCGTTATTGAGTTTCACCTGCAAATAGTGTTTTCTTACTATAGCTATACAAATTAAAGACTTTTTGTGGAAAATGTCACTTATGTGGTTTTACCTTTAAACAGACAATGTGACTTTTCCAAAATAGAAATTTTTCCATGACTCAACACTAACTATACCTATGGAATTTCAGGTAATAAACGCAAGAACCATAATGAACCAGCAAAAGATCCGATCTATCACCCAAAAGATCGCATTGCAGATCAACTGCAAACTGGGTGGCACGCTGTGGAACATTAGCATACCTTTCAAGACCGCCATGATCGTGGGCATTGACTCGTATCACGACGGTGGCCGGAAGAAGCGTAGCGTTTGCGGTAAGTATCTAAAACTTAAATAAGTAATATTTTATTGAAAATCATGTTTTTGTGAAATATCCACTAGTTTGTTGTTATTGTTAATACAAAAATCGAAAAAACTAAACGCTAAACCGGGGCTATCGCTTTCCCATACGGAACTAGTTGCCAGACCTTATTTAAATAAGTAAATCGACCGGGGCCATTGCAACTACGAGATAATCGAAACCAGTAAAAATTATTGAATAACTAATTGGTTTTACTATCTCAGGATAAACCAGAGCTGGATGAGAGGCCCATGCGTAATAGTTGGAGAATTGTGTAACGTGGTGGACAAAATGTGTAAAAAGAAACCTTTTGCTTATTAGTGGTGCTCTCTTTAAATTTCGCCAGTAACGAGTTTTCAGCTTAATAATTTTAGAGGTTTCTGCAGGTTCCGCTATTCAATGAGTATTGTGGGAGTACAGTTTGAGAAAGTATAAGATTTTGTATTCTATTTTGAATTTTGATGTTGCAAAAATGTTATCTAAAACGGACATATACTATTTATATAAAACAAGTGTTAGTAAGTTATGTGAGACGAACAAATTATCACCTTATTTCATCATATTATTACTAGTTACATAATTACAAAAGAACTGATAAAAAGGGGAATATGCAAGTCGCGCGGATGACAACTGTCTTTGAAACGTTGGTGACGGCACGCGCAGAGACAGTAGATTGCCACATACATATGTATATTACAATTGTGTTGTGATAATCTTACAGTGATTATTAATTATTTCTTTTTTTTTAAATTTCAGCTTTTGTGGCGTCGTACAACCAGACAATGACGCACTGGTATTCAAAGGCTGTGTTCACGTCGCAAGGCCAAGAGATAGCAGACGGCCTTAGGTCCTGCCTCGTGGATTCACTCACTCATTACTTGCGGGTCAATGGCAAATTGCCCGATAGAGTCATAATGTACAGGTAAATAATTTTTTAATAATAAACCTTCAATTTTCTACGAAATTAAGAACGACACCCTCTTAATTGCTATCTCGTATTTGTGTTGGTTATCATATTGTAAATATTTTCATCTCATATCATATTCCATATTTTGTTAAAAATATCTGTTTGTACTGTTTATTTATAAGCAATTCTAAGGTTTCTTAGGCGCAAATATCACAAAGCAATATGTGCTTTAAACATCACTAATTTTTCCTTTCCAACTTTTTCTTACAAAAGTAATTTTCAATGATTTATTGGACTCATTGCTATTTTTATTTTCGCATGGTAAATACCAGAATTGATCATACTACATTGTGCATAGGTAGGCCATATTTTTATGAAAACAGGTACGTGATATAGTACCATAGCTCACACTTTTTTACCTACATATATACAGTAATTTCATTGTAGGTCGTCGCGATTGCACATGGGAAATGAAACTATTAAGTTTTCCAATCTAAATCGCATATACCTATTTGTTTTTCCAAGTAAATAAGGTGTATATGTACAGAGTGGTTTGCATTAATATTAGACAACTGGTTGACGACTACCATCTCGGTCAACCGTGACCACAGGACCTGTAAAGGATCCAAAATGTTGATTTGTTTAAAAAAACAAATATATGCGGCTTAGAACCGAAAAAAAAAAAAATATTTCCAATTCATTATACCAAGCTGTTCAAGTAAGGTAAAAAACATGGCGTACGAGGTCTAGATCTCCCAGTCAAATTTTACTTTCTTTACTGACAGAATAAAAATGAAGAAGTTGCGTTGTTAGGGAGTTAAGCGATTACTAATTTGCCACGGTTCAGCTGCTAAAGGTGTTACTAGTATACCTGAATAAAATAATAATATAACGCATAGAAAATTGTCGTTACGTTTTCTTTCTTCACATAATGTGATCGGAAGCTACAAAAGTTATCCTGTGTACTAAGTAAAGAGAATTTGTCAGATTTCTTGCTCGAATAAAAGCATTAAAACAAAACTTAAATTTAAAATTTCACAGAGACGGAGTCGGCGATGGTCAGCTAAAGACTGTTAGAGATTACGAGATCCCGCAAATGCAAGTGTGCTTCAATTTGCTGGGTGAAACCTACAAGCCGTCGCTGACATATATCGTCGTCCAGAAACGGATCAACACGCGCATTTTCGCTAAGGTGAATGGTGGATTCGAAAACCCCCCACCTGGAACCATCTTGGACCACGCTGTCACTCGTCGAGATTGGTATGCATTCTTGGTTCTTCTTTTATGCGGATGTTAGTTGTCTATTACCACTAACAATGTCAGGTCTGAGTACTATTAGATTATATTTCCGAAAATTTTGAAAAATAGGTAAATATAATTTCGAAGGAATATTATGTTCTACATTTAGAAGTATCTTTTGAAGTTTTATTTAGCGTGGATTATAAAATAAATTTGTATAGCTAAAAGCCACTTAAACAAATACCAGATATAAAATGGTTTCACAACAGCGAAAAACAAACTTTTAATAGCTCTATCGTTTTCGTTCAGCAACTGAACTTTTGATACATGTAAAGTGAAATGTGAAAAAATATTGTAAAAACATCCGGAAAAATATTTATTTTTCTGAAAAATGTAATTTTTTCAAAATGGAAATTTTTCCATGACCCAACAGTAGGTCTGGGTTTTCGCAAACCAAACTATGAATTTTACAGAAAAAAACATACCTTTCAATCGAAAATTGCATCAAAATTATTTCGGGTACTTTTTGTTTAAAACGCCTTTTAATTTCAATTTATTATATATTTAGTTTGCAATAATCAGTAGGTAATCACTGTATTTGGAGCGGCTATCAAAACATACTATACGTAACGTTTGGTACTCTGCTCGTAAGTAATGAACCGTGAAACTACGTCGTCGTGTTATTGACTTCTTTTTCTTCTTCCAGGTACGATTTCTTAATCGCCTCTCAAAAAGTGAACCAAGGAACTGTGACGCCAACTCACTACGTGGTCGTCCACGACGACAGTGGTATGACGCCTGATCAATGTCAGCGTCTGACCTACAAAATGTGCCACCTGTATTACAACTGGCCTGGCACAGTGCGCGTACCGGCACCATGCCAATACGCTCACAAATTAGCCTTCCTCATTGGCCAAATACACGAAGAACCTTCAGAAAAATTGGCAGATAAGTTGTTCTTCTTGTAATGTAATTTAGAATTAAGAATATCTTCTTATTACCGATTAACGTTAACCGAATTAAGGATAACCGGTTTACAGATGCTGTAAAGAATAAGTTGTTTGTCAGAATACTTCAGTATTTCGCATATACTAGGGCTGAGATTTACAAAACGAATGACTTCGATTGTGCAAAGATGGCGAGCTAAGCTTTTCGTATTTACAAAACTTGAAAAAAAAAAAATGTTTATTTCATAATTTCTTTCTTATACTTAGGCAAAGTAAATTTTGATAGGAACAAAACGTCGCCGTCATGTCTTAGTCGATGTCAAAGTACGTTTTATAAATATCAGACTAAAGGGGTACATTAATTTCAATTGCTGCAAATTAATGTCATTATTATAGCTTAAAACATAAACAAAACTGACTATTGCATTGTTATGGTAAGTACAAAGTGTCCTACTCACTACTTGTAAGAGTCACTCGTTGATTTGAGGTATTAATTATGTAAGGTTGACTAGTTATCGACAAAGTTCTTTCTTTAACAGATTTTAAAATTTATTTGTGATATGTCATTCCCTATAGCACGAATGGATGTAACTCATATTTTTGATTGGAAAAAGTTTTTTATAGACCCAATTTGCGTTAAAGGTAAACGAACAGGTCTTTGATTCGACCATAGACAGTTTTGCGATAGCTGACTGAGTACAATTAACAATCGCAAAGTACTAAATAAAAAAAAAATATTTGTGATTGGTAGTAACCAAGGGTGACCTCTTGGTTTACTACCCGTCACTTCGTTTGATCACTCCTCAGATTTTGTGAAGCTCTGAGCGGCACTGCAACTGTTATGGACAGGGGTGTTGCTTATTACCAAGCTTCACGACTTGTTCGTTCTGTCGCTCAATATCATAAAAAAATATAAAAAAAATTATTGTATGATTAAATTTGTTTTATTGAAACAGTTGGGACAGTTCTTTTCGCGATTTTGTTGCTGATACTGAATAATGATATTCTGATACATAGGGTTAGAAAATTGTAGTCTGAACGGGTTGTAGTTAAGTCCGCACACTGACCGTTCTGAAAATAAACGGTAGACGGTTGGAGTACATAAAAAAGTTACAAAAATTATGAAAAGTTAAGTTTAATCATTTAAAAAAGTTAAGATTTTTGACCTTAACTTTAAATGATAAATGGATAGATAAATTCATTCATTCACTTCCATGACAAAAACATAACGGATACATGTACAGACAACTTAAACAGAACACCCTAACATTAAAATAGTTATTTCTCAAACATGCTCGGAAATGTTTACATTACTTTCAAAAAGCGAACACTGAAAGTTTGTCATTTATGGACCGTGCGACTTTTTCCCAGCCAAGGCCTCCAAAGAAAGTATTTACTATAATATTACTGGTCACTTCTTCAAACTTTTAAATCTACGTACACTAATAAACTGTCAAAAGAAAACTCATACAGCCAACTGCCCAGTGTTCATAGTTGCGAGAATTAAAAATATGTCCGTGTACCGCTTTCTTAAAAAAAACCTTATTAGTGTTTTGGTATTCTTTTGTTTTTTCGTCTTTTTTATATTTTGGTTGCGAAAATGAGTGCTAGTGAGAAGAGCGACAACGAAAATACAGTACACATTCAAACACATAATCAGAAGTTCAGCAGACTACTATAAATGTGCCTGGAAAAACAACATTTTCTTTTAGCAATCGTCCTAGGACGTCAAATATTACTTTTAATATTAATTAATATTTTTTACTTTTTTTATTATACATCTTCCTTTCTGTAGTCTTTTATTATTTCCTCACATTGTTTGAGAAAAATACTATACATGCCTCGGCGGGAATGGGGATTGCTTGACTCGTATCTCACTGGCACTCGTCCTTGTAACTCATACTTGTCCAGCAGTCCCTTACAACCTGGCCTCTGCAATAATGTACTATTGTTTGTTGTTACATGTTTAATTTATGATGTCACAATAGTCATACAGTCCAGTCCAAGTAGCCAAAAGTCGTCAGACGGGATAAACAAACTAAATCACTATGAAAACAAAAAAATGCAAATAAATAAAGCATTCGACCACATGAAAGAATTAGTGACGAATGATCGGTCAACATATAAATAAAATGGCGGACTGAGCATCGGACAGGGTTACCAATTTCAAAATAAAAGAATTCCAAAGTATGTGAGAAAGTCGTATATATAGTAAGTAGCTAAATTGGTTGCTAACAATTCAAAATTAGGATTAGTCGATTGACTTGCAAGTCCTGTGTTTGAGGCGCCTCTTTGTTTGAGTTTGCAGGGTATCAGCTGCGAGTATCATATACGTTATTTAAATTGAAACATTGTAAAAGAGTGTGTTAGCTTGCGAATAAACATTTATCTTACATGACTAATAAGTAAATCTAAAAGTTCCGAAATTCCGATTTTCAATCCTCCTTGAAAGCCTTATATTTAAGTACTTGTTTGTTTACGATGGCAATTTTCTATATACTATACGATTACTAAAACTTTAATTGAATGAACCGAGTGATTTTTGTTTCGTAAAGCGCTATGCAACCTTAAACTATCCAAATTTCTTCTACATTCGGCTTATAACTTAATTTTTAGATTAAGATTTTTCAAATACGAGTTTATGATGGTTTTTCATATGAGTACCGTTGAAGAAGGTGGTGATGATATCAAGTCGAAACCTTCAACCCTTATTAAGTTATGAGATTGTTAACCGATTTGTTTACCTTTTATGCAAAATGGATTGGAAGTGCTGCTACAATCTGTAAATGGCTGATTTTCGTAATAAGTTACTTCCATTAGTGTTTTGAGGGAGGATTTGTGTTCCCGTAGTGTTGTTAGCAGTTCATTTGACATTTGCCACGAGGCAGCGTTAGTTGTAGTTGGTGATGGTCAGTCTTTGCTTACCCCGGTGGGAAACGGGCATAATTGTATGTATGTAAATTTGTAACATAATTTTCTACATGTTGTAAGCCAGACTTGTAAACCAAAGTGTCGCCAATAGTAAAAATAAGCCAGTTCAACATGTTTATTAAAAAAACCATTATTTAATCAATAAGAAACGATTAAAAAAAAAATGCTATCAAGATTGGTTATAGAATCTTGATTGTTATTTACTCCTAAGGTTAGCTCAGGAGTTGCTTAATTGCAAGTAAAGCAATAATCTTCAAGGGTATGGTTTAGTGATTTTCCGGGCAAACTTAGTGTGAGTCGGATGTCTGTACAAATATTTTGTAGACGAATAGAATATAACCAGAGAGTTAACGCCGAGTTAAACTCATTAACATTGAAAATGAGAATGGAAAGTCATCAATCCATTTAAGGGTCCCACTGATGGGCACGGGTCTCCTCTCAGGCGAGGGCTTCGGCCGTAGTCCGCCACGCGGGTCCAATGCGGGATGGGGACTTCACACACTATCTGAGGGTTCTGAACCTTCGCCGTGCAGGTTTCATCACGATGTTTTCCTTCACCGAAAAGCTCATGGTAAGTTTGAAATTAAATTTCGCACATGAATTCCGAGAAACTCAGAGGTGCGAGCCCGAGTTCGAACCTACGGCCTATCCTTGAGAGGCGGTAAGTCAAACCATTAGGCTACCACGGCTTCGGTACGGGATGGAAAGAATTTACCACTAAATATTTGTTGTAAATAGAGTTTCGTCTATATATAAACATTAACAATTAATACAAAGGACAAGAATCCCATTTTTTTAGAATAGTTGCTATTCTAACGCTAATCTTGTAAGTGAGAGTCTACGGGATCGTGAGGTGGATATTGTCCTGGATTGCTTCTTTCTGGTCTAGAAAGTATTATTTACATCGAAATTTCAAATATTGAAATATATACAAAATTCAATATTATTTAACGAGTATAACGGTTTCCGTTCTAAATTGTGGGCAAAAATGAGTTAATACCGTGCGCTTTGCATATAAACAAGGTTAACATCATGACGGGTGGATTGTGTTTTGTTCCGCTACCAAACTCTAGGTGTAACTGCTACGTTTACCACTGCGGTTGTCCTCGTATACGTTTAGATTTTCATAGATTGTAAAAGAGAGAATTTGATTATAAATTTATAGTTACAACATTTTGCCCAACTGCAACCTGGAATATATAATACTAGGGAAGTAAGAGAATAACACTCACGTATACCACCATTCACCATTCATTCAGTAGTGTGGAGATTCCCGTGATAAACTGGGCAAAGTTAGGTTTTTCTGTATTTTGACTATATACTATGTGCAAAGTCGAAACTTCCCGGGCATAACTGGTTTACCCATACGCTGCTAACTTTATCTGAAAAGTTTAGGCTTTGCCCATAAGATAAATAGTCTTCAACTTTTTTCGTATGCATTTTTACTGTATTTGAACATTCAATTGCAACATTCAAACATTCAATTTGAGAATTCCCATGATGTAAGTTTTATACTTAGGCGTTCGATTTGACCTTACCAATTGTATTTTTTTACATAACAAATTAAATTTCTTTTCGATGTTTTTATTTGTTATTAATTTCGTTGATTATTTTAATATTTGGCCAATGGAATAAAATTATAATCTATATTTTTAGAATAAGAATAAGAATATAGAAACCGTTTTAGTATGTTTGGGTAATATCTGAATCAACTGGACTGGTTACAAAAAAAAAACCACTTATAGCGCTCGCTTTTGCGTAGTGGTTGACGTCTAAGTCCATTAGTGGTTATTATCAATTAGTAGTACTTACCAATTTTGACTAATTTAAAGTTTTAAAATCATTTTATAATTTCCAAATTTTTGTTAAGAATACAATATTTGACTTTACAACAAGCTCAGGCTTGTACAGAATTTGTATGTATACGCACGTATGCAAGGTGCAGATGATATTCCGTACAAAATAGATTATTTACGTAGTATTTGACAAATTGTAGTTCCATGTCACGTGTGGTCCACCCTTTACTCAACTCACAATACGCGTAGTATTGTGTCATAACAGTTTTGGCTCTGATTACGCAATTTCTTTGTGCCTTATAAAAATTAAATTGGGTAGTCTGTTATATTTTATAAATATTGATTATTCTATAAAATTAGTGTTGTTCTACAGGCATAATTTGCCTGTTTAGTATTTAGTTAAATAAG